TTTTTTTTTTAATCCGCCTCCCCAAAGGTTAAAAATTCATGCATCTATTATGTGGCGTTTCAAGTAAAAATATGCTCAATTCTGTTCATGGGAGTGACAGTTACATTTTTGAAATGAATTATAATTTTTACATTTTAATAAAAATGATCAAAGATCCATCCAAAAACAGTGTGTGCCTCTGCATTTTCCTGTGCCTCCATGCATGTTCTCAATATGAGACCATTTAGACAATGGATCTGTACGTCCACTTGCAATCAGTCCGTTGTGCTCTTCTTCAGATGTAAGGAGATAGAAGTAAACATTGATTTGGTTAGCTTGAGTAGAAACTGTAGTCCCCTTCCCCAAAGGATAGCTCTTTGCTTTGTAGAGGCTCCCTTTCTCCTCCCTAGTGATCTAGGATCTGTCTGATACTAACCCTCTCTCGTATATTAAACCAAATCCACATCTGAAAAGGCGGTCTAGTTCCCTTGGCCTTTCTGTCCTTTAACATTACTATCTCTGCCTCATTTGAGGCACTAAAACACCTCAGTACTGCGTGGCTTCCTTTCATAAGTAATGAGCAGGAAAAGCTCCAAATGTAGCTCCTTTTGTCTGAAAAAAAGAAATTCCCTCTTCACTTTTGGTCTTGCCAAATTTATCTCCAGAAGCCCTGTGGTTGCCACCTCTAAGAAGACCCCAAATGGTCCCTGCCTCCTGATATTCACACCCTTAGATAATCCTGTCACCTTCAGTGTGGGCTGGATTTAGTGACCCATTCGTAATAAACAGAATAACAGCAGAAGCAATGGAATGTTACTTTCAAGATTTGGTTACCAAAAGTCTGTCTTAAGCATCCTCTCTTACTTCCTTACCCTGAGGAAAGTCAGTTGCCTGGCAGCGTACTGTCTTACAGGGAGGTCCACGTGGCTAGGAAGGTCTCTCAGATCAGCAATAAACAAGGTACTGAGGTTCTCAATCCAGCAGCCCATGGAATTATAAACGTTGCCAACAAACCTGAGGCGAGACCAGGAGCTGGTTTCCCCTGGCTCAGCCTTTAGATGAGTCTTTAGATGCAAGCAGGGAACAAACACCCTGCCTGCAACTTCATGAAAGACCTGGAGCCAGAGGCATTCAGCTAGATTCCTGACTCACCGAAACGGAAATAATAAGTTTATTATTTTGAACTGGTAAAATTTCAGGGTTATTTGTTAAACAGCAGTGGATAACTGATGCCAGGCTCTTAAAGTCACTGTTCCAGTTTTCAATCTATGCGTTTTCTAGGATGCTTCTGGATTCGTCATTCTTTCCTCTGGCTGTCAATTGAAGTACTCATGCAGGGTTTTCTCTGCATTGCTCTTTCAGAACAGGGGACAGTGGGTGTCAAGCCTTGTTCATAAATGTTTCTCCAGTGTCTACAACCGAACCTGGCACCTAGACAGATGCTCAATAACTGCTTATTAAATCTGTCTTTTTCTACTCATCATTGTCTTAAAATTACTTCTCATTTTCTATATTGCTCTTTCTTTTGAGTTAGAAACTCTGGTAGGCTAATTGCTTTTAACTTTGCTATTCCTCCTCTAGACCTACAGACACTGCTGTCTCACTGGAGGCAAATCAACATCATCCCTCTCCTCACGTTCCTCCTGTGTTTCTGGCCCGTGAGTGCTGTCCCGCCTCACTCCTGCTGGACTGGGAAGCTGTGCCTGCATGCTCCAACATGAGACCTCCTCAATACCTACAGTGATAAGTAGTGACTTTATTGTTATTTTCATTCTAAAAGCTAAACTACGAGGCCTGGAGATGTTAAGTACTAAGTCTAAGGTCACCTTGAAATTTAGAAGCAGAACCACTAGAATTTAGGTTTCCTGGAAATCATGGTCTAAGGGAGATTCCAATTTAAATTTGGTCCCTCTATGCTATGTGACCTCATGCAAATTATCCAACCTTCCTGTGTTTGTGATCTGGAACAGGAAAATCATTTCTACATTATAGAGTTGTGTAGGCATTACTCTTGATCTAGCACGCAGGCAGTTTTATGTTTTAACTCATATTTGCAACTTCTTTGAATAGGGTTGCCATACTTAGAATAAGGGCACATCTCCATTTATGGAGACGGCAAAGGAGACGGCATATCTCATTGTTTATAATCAATATTATCGCTAGCACTTTCCTTTCAGTCTTTCAAGATGTCAGTAAAACCAACAAAATATTACTTCTCATTAGACGCTTTCCCTTTTGCCTTTCTTTGACACCCTGCCCTCAGTGGGATCAAATGCTCTGGGACATAACTCCCTCCTATGACTAGCGAGCACATGCATCATTCCACTCTTCCTAAACTGCGTGGCAGTTCAGAAAGAGGAGCTTCTTGGTGGAGGCAACTTTCATTTTGAAACAAGTGTGTACTGCTGAAATAAATACTCATGCATGTAGAGGAAAGAAAAGCTGTGCATACACTTGACCTGGTAAGTCTAGGTTAACAGAAAGACAAAACCCTGAAGAGAAAAGCCGTCTAAAAGATCTAATCCAAATACGTTTTAAAGGTAAGCAGCCAGTACTCTACATATTTCTTGACAAAGGTTTCGTGTCAAAACAGATGAACATAAAGATTCCTAGTCTTAATTCTACACTCTACCCTCCCCCAAAGAAAACATACTCCACAGCTTCATTTTTCTTCCACAGAGTAGTCAAGGGTTCAAACCAGTAACCTGATTGCTATCAGACCAACACTTAACACACTGCGCTACCTGGGCTTCTTCCTAGACCAAGAGGTTTCAAATAGTCATTTGCAACATATTCATACCAAAGAGACCTTGTTCATTTTTGTTTAACATATCCATCGTGTTCTGAGAACAGGAAGCCAAGTCCTGAGAAGTTCAACACCTGCCTAGATTAAAGACAAGGTTAATGACAAGCAGGGTGTGATGATATGAAGCTCTGAACACTATAGGGCTCTTTCCACGACACCACGCCACCTCTGTGTTTTATTCGGGTCTGTTTTTAGGAAGAAAACGGGACCTTTTTCTCACTGTCATCTGAAGCCTACCTCTTCCTGGGATTGCTGGAGTTGCTGCATCAGTTGTGCTTGCGCCAGCGTGACTCTTTCAAGTTCCCCTGACTTCTCCTTTACTTCCTTCCTCAGGTCCTCAGAGACGGAGCCATTACTGTCAATTTCCTTCTTCAAGCGAGATTCCAATTCTGCAGCCAGACTTCTGAGAGTTTCCATTTCTTTTTCTTTCGACTCAGCTTCCTGAGCGTATCTTGTGCGGGATTCACAGAGTTTCTCTTGAAGACTAACTACTTCCAGTCTCAGATCTCGTGTAGCCTCTGCGATCAAGTCAGGTATCTGCAAGACGAATATTGGATGAGTTTGCAGGCCGTCGTATCTAGGTAACCACACATTACTTTCATATTGAATAATGAAATTTTAAATAATATTAATTTGAAGAAATACAATCTAATCAGAAACTTGATTCTGTTAAAAGCAATGCTTGTAAGACTTTGGGATGAGATACATTTTTGAATGCCAGTTAGCATGTGATAAACAAGTTAAGTCTCTGTGTAAAAGCGAGTCTGCCTAGGTATTCAAGTGGTTGTCAAGTGCTGAGCTGATAGAAGCACAAGAGATTATTCTGTAAGATTAAACCACATTCATCTACAAGGAGCCAGGTGGCATAATGGGTTATGCATTGGGCTGCTAACAGCAAGGTCCCCGTCACCAGCCCATCCAAGGGAGAAAGATGAGGCTTTCTACTCTCACAGAGATGTAGTCTCAAAAACCCACAAGGGCAGTTCTTTCCTGCCCCGTAGGGCCACTATGGGTCAAAATCCACTCGAAGGTGGTGAGTTTTGTTTGTTTTGTCCCCAAGAGTTAGCAGCACAGAAACCCATAGAGGCAGCTCTACCCTGTCCTATAAGGCTGCTCTGAGTCAGAATGAACTCCTCGTGAGTTGAGTTTTTGAGTCCACATTCCTCCAGAAGAAAGGAGCACAATTAAGTGAGTGACACAGTGGATCACTTGCACTTGGGAGGGAAAGTCGTTTCGATTGGAAAGAAGTAATCATAAGTTTCTCATTCTCTTTCACAGATGGTAGGTTTGTCTGTATTATTGTTTTGTTTAATTCTGTTTCCTGTTTTGTTTTCTTAAAGCATAATAAGCCCTCATAGAAGGAGGAGAGGGCCTAAGAGGGCCAGCGAAGGGTTTTTAGATTCATTTGTTTTTTTACAATTCTTGGAAGATAAAGGATAATATATTTTTTGAGTTTAGAAAGGAAATTGAGTAGAATAAAGTGGTTTAAGGTATTAAGTTTTATATGGGAAGATACCAATCTACTCTAAGATGTTTAACTGTGCCAATCTTGTCCTGTATTTCATTGCTTTGTTTGGAAAATAATATCTTCTTTCCAGTGCACTCACTGCCATCAAGCCAATGCCAACTCACAGTGACCGTGGAGGACAGGGTAGAACTGCCCCTTGTGGGTTTCCAAGACTGTAACTCTTTACGGAAGTAGAAAGCCTCATCTTTCTCTCGCCGAGTGGCTGGTGGTTTTGAACTGCTGGCCTTGTGCTTAGCAGCCCAACTCCTAATGCACTGTGCCACCAGAGACATCTATAAATTTGAGAGGCCTAGTGCAAAGCGAAAAGCCAATCTTCCCTTCCCATGAACCTGGTGCCCCAACTCATGAAGACAGAGACCCCCCCAAGGATTATAATTTCTGCCCTGGTACATACTCAATACCTGGATTGGAATGGGATGGGGTGAGGGGGAAGTTCCTACCAATTTGACCACAAAACATATTATAGGCTACTTTGCCCCACTCCAAGAAGCCACAGGACCCTGACTTTTCCCATGTCCATGCTGAAGCCCCCCCATCCCCCCTACCCCCCACCCCCGTGAATGGCAATGGCAGGATACAAGCATTTCCAGGTGGGGTGTGGTGATAACTCATGAGGCATACAGAGGGCACCGGGAAACTGAAAACAGGGGGAGGGGAGACTAGGGGGTGGCTGAGAGACATCCGGGGAGGCTGTACTGTGTGTGAGACCAGGCTCCAAGTCCAGGAACTTGTGCTGTTGTGCCAATCAGACTCACAAAACATCAAAGATAGTATTATTGAGAACTTCAAACCAGTGTCTGCAGAACATTAAAATCACGAGGGTGAGGTCTTTCTGGGTGAGTGTGGGCCCATGTTATTCAACTGGGCTTGCTGGCTTTGCCCATTTCTCATCACTGCCACGAGTCCTGGAGCTGAAGCAAAAGTCACTAAGCTCTCATGTGACGTTACCTCAACAGGGTCTCTTAGCTGGCTTGCCCACCCAGTACGTTTGTTAGAAAGAGCGAATAAAATGGGATTAGAGAGTATCGGTTTTAGGAACTAGCCATTTTCCTTGACTAGTTAACAAAAAGTATTAATAGTGGCTGCGGTGGCCTGCGACCAATCATTCAGTCTAGAAAATGGCACTTAACATACAAATAAAGCTGAATAATATAATATATATTATATTTTATATATATATAT